AAGTGTTATCAGCCATTGGAATGGGCTGCCCAGGGAGGTGGTTGAGGCCCCATCCCTGGAGGTGTTCAAAAGATGGGTTGATGTAGTGCTGGGAGGTATGGTTTAGTGATGGTGATGCTTCTTGTTTGTTGTGTGGGTGTCTCTTTTTGTCAAAGTGAGGTTGACGGTTGGACAAGATGATCTTTAAGGTCCCTTCCAACCTAGAAGATTCTGTGATTCTATAAAACCAAATGCTAGAATTTTTAAAGAATTACTGCAAAAAGCTGTTAAATGCTTCCCAGTCCCATCAGTAGCACAGGCACAGTGAGCCTTAATGGCTGGCCTATCTGATCTATCATATCTTGGGCAGTTAATGTGCTGGGGCTTGTCACACTACTGCAAGTTTTCTGAGCCATCAGACGACCGGAGACCACCACACAGTGCCAGAGATCACAGGATTACGAACATCAGGCAACAGAAGACAATACTGATAGATGAGTTTGTGAACCTTGAGCTCACATCAAAATGAACAGACATTGGATACTCATGGACAAGTGCTTCCTTATTCTTTATTCACTCTAACCAAACTCAAGGATTTTGCTTCCCTTCTCCAGCTGTACCCCATGGATATGGGTGGCACACAATAGCGTGCTGTATCCATGCACTGGATACAAACCAAGAACAAAATTTACTTTTATGACAAAATGGAAAGTTGCGGCTTGCCATTTAATCATACTTCAGTGCCTATCTCCTTTTTACCCTTGTGCTACACTTGACCTCTCTCCTCTCATTTCGCACCCCACTAGCAGGAAGGTTTAGCAAGTAAGTGTCAGACCTTCTGATACTTACATGCAAACAAGTACCTACCAATAGTACAAGGTCCATTCCACCTTAGGCAATTAATAAAGATAATTTTCTGGACATAATGTGTATGTACCTTTGCTGGAGAAAGCAAGTCTGGCTCAGAGCCTAAACAAGTGTATTCAAATTCGACTAGGAAGAGTTCTTCAAGGTGTTACGAAAGTTTATATAAGCCTCCACAAGTTTCATAGCTATATATGTCTTTGAACAGACGTGACAGTCTTATTCTGTTTGAGTTTTGAAGCATGCAGCAGAATGATGGTGGTTAGGAAATAATTATGAAATAATAAAGTCAAATTCCCTACTGAAATTTCCTTCACATCTTAGCTATCCAAATTCTTAAGACGTTATCTGTGGCAACATTAAAAAAAATTTAAAAATCTAGTATAAAATTCTTCATATAACATAGCAAAGAGAAAATTAAGAGTGCAGCACATAAGTTGAACTGTTGCCAATATAGTGCTATATATCTTTAAAAACTTGGGATTAGATTTGAAGTATGAAAAAGACACAACCTCAATGCATTGCTTATCTTTCATTTATGGTGTGAAAAAATATGTTGCCGTCACAGTTTCTTTTTGTTGTTGCTTTAGTTTGCAGTGTCCTTTAATCAAAGATGTCCTTTAATTGCCAACACAACTTTAGAGACTCTGTTTGGCTTGAATACAGAGCAAGTTACATTTGTTCTTATGTTGGGCATTTTAGCATGATCATATTTTTGCATTACTTTCCATTTCTTCCTCTTAATTTTAATCTAACTAGCCTCTCATTTTTACTATTAAAAAATAACTACATTAAAGTTTGCTTGTTTGCGCATATTATGAACAACGAGACTATAAATCACTTTTTGCTTCACTGATACTGAATATGACTCATTTGTACATAACTATGTCAAACATAGTATATGTAAAACTACTAGTTTAACTCAGCTATTTATCTGTGAAAGGCGTTGAAATATGATGGATCTATTAACAATGCAGGTACGGAAAAAATATATGCTTATGAAAATAAATTATTTAGATAATAATTTTATCAAAGGCAGGAAATTTAGTTTCCTCAGTTCTAGAGAATTACCACTGAAAGATTACTGATCAGGAAAGAAAAGGGTGGAAAAGTGCTGTGTAAGGACAAAGGAACATCAATTACTTGCTTTTTATTAAGTAACTTTCTATTAATTCAAATAATCCCACACATATATACCGTACGATAAGAGACTGTTAAAAAATACACATGTATCTGATATGCTGGATTCATGGTTGGTAAGTCCCTGAACACTTAAATCATATAGTGTCTTGGCTCTTAAAATTAACCACTATTTTAGCACTATTTAGTATAGCTAGAATATAACTGAAAGTTGGTTTTGCAACTGCAACAGGAGATTTCTATGGTGTACTTTCAATATATATGTTACGTTGACACAACTGACTTCTAAAAATAATTATCACATCAATCTATTTTTAAAAATACTCATTCATAATCAATTCTTTCTAACTGGAAGTAAATGTTTAGTATTACATACAGTACAGTACAATGCTGGACTACATTTATATCCTACTGAAAAACTTGTGGGATTGCCAGATCTAACTTTTATAAACTGTTACAGAAATTCTAAGAATCCAAGCATGAATACAACTGTAAATGCTCATTAATATTTTAAAATACTTGTAGCAAATATGAAACCAGCCAAACAGGCAATTGATTTTCTTCAACTGAGATAACAACTATTATACTTTTATTAAAAGAAAGATTTAATGGAATAAATGACTAAGTCACAAGCTACTTTGAAAACTGGTATATCCTACATTTACCACGAGGGACGAAATGTTCTTTGTACTATTACAAAATAAGCTGGATAAGAATCTGAGTCTTTTCCCAAAGCTCTTTAACCACTGCTAACCAAGTAAAAATACTGTTGTGCTCATGTCCTGTGGTTTGAAGGTTTTCAAAACAATGATGAAACATATACGGTGTACGCTACCTTTGCAAGTGTGTAACTGGGACACCTCCCATCACTCAAAGATAAAAAAAAACCATCACTGAATCTCAGCCAGGAAAGCAAGGCATTTTCACTGAGTTCTTTCTAAGAATTCCTTCTGTAAGCTGTTACTTTTTAATATAGTTCATAAAGTATATTTATTACTCTGACAGGTGCATGGGCTTTGACCAAGGTCCATTTTCCCTGACTCTTATGTAATCATATAAAAGCTGTTATGCCAAATGATTTGGAGTTAAAAAACTTCTTCCACTCTCAGCTTAAATACAGACCAATTTATAAATCATATGCCAGAAAAGAACTAGATGTCTTTACATATGATTTTTTTTTAATGAATGAAAATACACGTCAATTGATCATCAAGGGAAAAAAGTCGACAAATACTTTGATATTCAAGAACTCTATGGAATGAATGGAAATGATGCTCCCACCAGTTAAACCAAAGAGGATTTTGAATCTTTGAAGATATTTCATTGTTTCACTGATTTGTGAAAACTTCACAAAAACAAGACAGACTTGGCCCAGGTGGCCAAGAGGGCCAATGGCATCCTGGCTCGTATCAAGAATAGCGTGGCCAGCAGGAGTAGGGCAGTGATGGTGCCTCTGTACTGGGCACTGGTGAGGCCTCACCTCGAGGGCTGTGTTCAGTTTTGGACCCCTCACTGCAGGAAAGACATTGAAGTGCTGGAGCGTGTCCAGAGGAGAGCCACCAAGCTGGGGAGGGGCCTGGAGAACAAGTCCTATGAGGAGAGGCTGAGGGAACTGGGCACGTTTAGTTTGGAGAAGAGGAGGCTGAGGGGAGACCTCATTGCCCTCTACAACTCCCTGAAAAGAGGTTGTAGAGAGGTGGGGGTTGGCCTCTTCTCCCAAAGGACGAACGACAAGACCAGAGGAAATGGTCTGAAGTTGGGGCAGGGGAGGTTTAGATTAGATATTAGGAAGAATTACTTTACTGAGAGAGTGGTCAGGCACTGGAACAGCCTGCCCAGGGAGGTGGTGGAGTCACCATCCCTGGAGGTATTTAAGAAACGTATAGACATGGCTCTTCAGGGCATGCTCTAGTGCCCAAGGTTATTGGTTTGTGGCGAGGTGTTCAGTGTGGGGTTTAGTTGGTGGGTGCGGTGTTTTTGGTGGGCGTTTGGTGTGGTGTGTTTTTTTGGTTTTTTTGTTTGTTTGTTTGTTTTTTGGTTTTTTTTTGTGGTTGGACTCGATGACCTCAGAGGTCCCTTCCAACCACTAAGATTCTGTGATTCTGTAACAGTCAGACAATGGAATAACAGTAATAAGCTCCAATTGTTTTTAAGTGGAAAGAAAATGGAAGAAAGCCTCCGATCCTGATGCAAATGTAAATCTAAGATATTAAGGACAGATGAGTTGCTATTGAAGTGCCTCCACGAAATTACTGTCATTACTGAGAATACTAAAATAAATTAATTTGATCTTGGACTGCTACCGCCATATGAAAGAGTGTTTTTTAATTTTTTTTTGTTTTTATTTTTATAAAGAGCCTCAAATGGGAGAAGCGTGTTAATTTTTTCTCCGCCTACTGAAAGCGAATTAATCAGTTCTTTTAAGTTACTTTTTACTTTTTATATAAAGGAATTGAACTGCAAGTATAAAATATTAACAGAATACCTGAAACCAAGCTTCAGAACACTACAACATTTCATAACAAGACCAGTACACTGGCTACAAGTTATGGTCAATAGAATATCAATACATTTCAGGCTGTCATATAATAAGGGTTGAAGGGAAAATAAAGTTAATAACCTTTGTGTGAGTGCTAACTGCATAGTAAAGTTAATTTGTGAGCATAAAATAGCATCTGTTATTGATACTGAAAAGCTTTCAATGAACTGAACTCAGATCACAATTTGAATTTGACAGACTGCATTTATGCACTACCTTTAAGTTACTGTAATAAGAAATGTAAATTTCAACCAACGCATTCATTTCTGCTTTTTGGCTTGTGATGAACTTAAAAATCTATAAATATACATGAACAAATATATCATATTATCAAATTGTTTGAAAAAAGGACTGACAAATCCGAAGACATAACTCCTGATTCTCTTTTCTTGTGCATTTTAAGACAAGTTTCAGGATTCATAAACTTTACCCATTTCTCACTGCATGCAGTGAAACCCATTAACCACTGGTAACTCACCCTCTTCTGCTCTTTAATATATTCCATCAGTTCCTCTCTTGTCCTTTTCACTGCTTCTTCAATTGCCTTTTCACTTCGTTTTTGCTCTTCCATTAATGCTTCCTTGACCATTTCCTTTTAAAAAGGGAAACACGTAAGTGTAAATATTAAAAGTATTTCACAAATGTAATAGAAGTCATTCCTTTCCTTCCTCCTATGATTTTATCATGACCACACTCCTTTCTCAATGACAGCTATCCTAAATGTATGCAATACCTTTAAGAAAATTTATAAATTCAGTACTTTGATCACTAAAGGGTCTAAAGAGGACTGAAAGAATCAGCTTAAATCTGTGTTCCCTGAGAGCAGAAGAAAAGGAAGAAATACAGGTATTACATTCCAACAGAAGCAGGGCTGTACTAGTTGCTATCAATGGAATATGGAGCGGGAATGGAGTGGGAATGGAATGTTATAGTTCCAGTTGGAAGGGACCTACAACAATCATACGGGCCAACTGCCTGAGCACTTGAGGGCTGCCCAAAAGTTAAAGCACGTTGTTAAGGGCATTGTCCAAATGCCTCTCAAACACTGACAGGCTTGGGGCATCAACCACCTCTCTAGGAAGCCAGTTCCATTGTTTGACCACCCTCTTGGTAAAGAAAAGCTTCCTAATGTCAAGTCTTCCTCCCCTGGTGCAGCTTTGAACCATTCCCATGTGTCTTGTCACTGGTTCCCAGGGAGCAGAGATCAGCACCTCATTCTCCACTTCTCCTCCTCAGGAAGCTGTAGAGAGCAATGAGGTCAACCCTGAGACTCCTCCATATCGCGTGCCTGTCCAGAACTTCCATAAAGACTTTTCTAACGTCACGATAACCAGAGTCCTAACGACAATAAATTTGTTTCCAAAACTTGGGAAATGCCAGGGTCATTCTGTACACAGCAGCAAAAAGCAACCACGGACACTCACCCACCTCCCAAATTAGAATTACCCTACATCAAACGTGATTCTGGCATCACAGAAGAGAAAGCCAGAAACCACTTCTCAAAACACCTCTGTTACCACCAATACAACTTATCTGCCTCAGCTCAGGAAACAACTTCCCCTGCTCTAGAAGTTACTGTTCTAGAACTTGAGCCCCCGCATCCCAAAGCAACTCATGAAATAAGTCACAGCATTATTTAGCCAAGTGGTTTGTTTCCACAATTCAGGAAAATGAAGTCACAAACAAACGATTCCTGAAAACAAACCACAGGAAAACGTTAAAACGACAAAACAGCCATTAAAAATAATTGTACAATGTTAAATGATTTGGAAGGGGGACGGGTGTTGGGCTTTTTTGGCAAAAAGATCCACAGTCCTTCAAAAATACACCTGTGAAAATTGGAGAAAGCCCCCTGAAAACTACGGCAATACTCAGAAATTGTAAATAATGTTGTCACATTACTTTTATGATGGGCCAAAATTCACCTCCCCTGTTACTGCACCACAGAGGTAGCTGAACTGGGGAGCCAGTGCATAGTAAGATAAATGGGTAAGCAAAATAGACAGCCCTTGAGACCACATCGCAGATGCTGAGGGAGGGTTTGGAAAAAAAGAGTGTCAATATCCCCTCTAAGTGCAGACTTTTACCAGTGTTGAGCCACTTGAGGGTAAAAAGGCTCTACAGAGGGATCTGGACTGGCTGGATCGATGGTCTGAGGCCAGTGGGATGAGGTTCAACATGGCCAAGTGCTGGGTCCTGCAACAACCTCCTGCAGCGCCACAGGCTTGGGGAAGAGTGGTTGGAGAGCTGCCTGGCAGAAAAGAACCTGGGGGTGTTGGTCGACTGTTGGCTGAACATGAGCCAGCATTTGTGCCCAGGTGGCCAAGAAGGCCACCAGCATCCTGGCCTGTGTCAGGAACAGTGTGGCCAGCAGGAGTAGGGCAGTGATTGTCCCCTTGTACTCGGCACTGATGAGGCCTCACCTCAAATAATGTGTTCAGTTTTGGGCCCCTCACTACAGGAAAGACATTGAGATTCTGGAGAGTGTCCAAAGAGCAACAAAGCTGATGAAGGGTCTAGAAAACATGTTGTATGAGGAGCAACTGAGGGAGCTGGGGTTATTTGGCCTGGAGAAAAGGAGGCTGAGGGGAGACCTTACCACTCTCTACAACTACCTGCAAGGAGGTTGTAGAGAGGTGGGGGTCAGTCTCTTCTACCAAGTAACAAGCAACAGGATGAGAGGAAACATCCTCAAGCTGTGCCAAAAGAGGTTTAGATTGCATATTAGGAAAAATTTCTTCACTGAAAGGGCTGTCAAGCACTGGAACGGCCTGCCCAGGGAAGTGGTTGAGGCCCCACCCCTGGAGGTATTTAAAAGACATGTAGATGTGGCACTTAGGGACATGGTTTAGCAGTGGACTTGGCAGTACTAGGTTAATGGTTGAACTTGATGATCTTAAAGGTGTGTCCTAAAGAACTCCATGATTCATCTACCATATTCTAGTTAACCAAAAGAAGTACTAATACATCTTCACAATAAATAAGCATTTATTACTTCATAATACAAAATTAATATAGGGTACATAATGAAATCGAAACTGAAATCTCACTCTTTCAGATACTTATTGACTATAGTTATTATCTGAAAATTATCGCAACAGTCACAGTCTGCCATGACAATGGGAATTCAACAGACTGGACAATCTCATATGATCGTAGATGTGTACTTTAGTAGGCTACATCTCAACATTTGTATTTACCAGACTCCTGGTAATAGTCCAGAACATTTCTTATTTTTGGCGATTAAACTTCACCAACCAAACGCCAGTATGAATCATATGCTTCTCTGGCCCGTGATTGGAATGTCTGTTTCTCAACTGACTTTAAACATTATCCTGCTTGCTAAATTCAGGAGAAATGAACCAGTACAAGTAAACACACGGCATTCTTCCCAGGGTTATATCTTAAGAAACAGACGCTACAACCACTAACAACATTACTTAAGTGGCTGATTTACTTTGCACTGTCCCTTACTTGCAGCTCACAATGGGGAAACACAGGATTCTGTGCAACAACGACAGACCGCTCAAGACTATCAAAAGACATCTTTGCTGTGGTATCAATGAACTGGGAAACTCTTTTGTCTTTTCCATCCAGTTTTCAGGTTTCATAGAGCAAACATTAGACAACACCCAGTCCCCTAGCCAACTCAGTCATGTATTTTTCCCCTGTCCTTCAAATTAATCAGTGATATCAGGTTTTCCTTCTGTGAAAAGAATCTTCACTCCTACACAACCTTTCACAAAGTGGTCTCCTCTGGGTTCTCAAAGTCACTGTCTGTCTTTGCTCTGTGTTTGTCAGTCATTACAGTAGATTACCAACTGATAGGATACCAACTTTAAATTCTGATATTACCTATTAGTACTGTTTAACAAAGTCTTCACTGCATGTACATCCTGTCAGTGTATGTGCTTATTTTGCCTTCATCTCTTTCTTTTCTCTTTCCTGTTATGCTATATCTACCTTTAGATTTTATCCTACTTTAAATTTTGGGTGAAAAAGTAAAAGTGGGCCCTTATTTCACCTTTAGCTAAAAAGGCTATGGCACTATTTGAGGCTCTTAGTGTGATTGTAATCGATTCAAGAAAATGGGAAAACCCAGTTTCCCGTAAGAAGCTGAGGAAGAGCACTCGATAAATTCCATTTGAGGTGCAACTCTTCTCTTCCATCTCCCTTTTTTTTTTTTTAATATCTGATCACAGCACTACATTATAGTCACAAAGTCAGCTTCTTTTACAGAACTTTAAATACATGTGCTTGACACCAGTTAAAAGATTAGAACACCAAATAGAAAAAAAAGACTAAGTTATTCAAGTACTCAATTGACAAACCATATTCAACTATATATTAGGAATCACAACCACGTAATCACTATATATATATACACACGTGCAGGAAGACAGAAAAAAAAAGCAGTGTACTGTATATATCCAAGAACTCCAGTCAGTATTTAAAAAAAGAAAAACAACCAAAAACCAGCCATATGACGGTTTTCAATTTTATAGGAAAATTCTTTTGTTTCCACACAAGGATCAGGTGGCAGTACTAAATTTTATCTAGGAAATGCAGCCACAGACTGCAATGCTAGTGGTTTCTCAGAAAATAGTAACCCTCAAATTATAATGTCTGTGGTTATAAACTACTACAAACTACTTCTGAAGTCAGACATGGTTAAAGTCTGCATGCAGTGGCCTACTCCTTTTCCAGACTTTGCAAGCATATTAAAAATAAACTCATCTAATGGCAGGAATCTCTTTCCAGTCAGTGCTATTAAGTTGTGTGCTTCATCACATACTCAGGATTATAAAATTTTATTTTTTTTTCCTTCACGTAAGATGCTTTTCTGTGTCCTTATGGAATCACCATGATCTCCATCAACAGTGGACACACTAATGTTTCTCCAAGAAGGTGGAAAACCAAGAAGAAAGTGAAACTGAAAACATTGGTTGGATATTCTCTTGAGGGGAATGTAAGCAAACACTCCCACTGAAAGTTGGGAACCATATAGTAAAGACAACAGAAATTGGAGACTTACTTTGAAGAGCAAGTTCTTCTACAGCTCAATAGCCTATTTAGGTAGGAACCATGACACTGAGAAAAAAAGCCAACAACATCTTGTTGTTCAAGATCCACAAGATATCGAACATGACCAACAATGTTATGATAGTCCAAGCCTATTGCTGAAAAAGTATCTTTTTTTTCTTCCAAAGATTAACGCTATTCCACCAAATCAAAATCCTACAAAGTCTAACAGAGTTATTCCTGGAATTGCAATATGCCATTTTGCTGGGAACTTCAGAATCACAGAATAAATGGAGTATTTCAAACTCCGCCTTCCCCATAGGATTCTGTAACCTATGTATAAGATGAAGCAAATAAGAAATGGTCAAAGCACGACTGGTAAAACTGATACTATTTTGTATTCCCTTAACTGGCAACACACTCAATGCTCTGTCTGTCATAGATGCAAAGCTTTGAGGATGTATTTAAGGAAATGAAAGTAATGTTATATGCCATGTGGAAACCCTCCCAAGTACAAAAACATCATAAAAGAAGGGAAAGCGATGGCCATTTTAAAGGCAAAAGTAGATC